TTTTCTTGATATGTTGTTGTAGTCTGTTGGCTAGGATTTTGTTGAAGATTTTTGCATCTATATTCATGAGGGATATTGGTCTGTAGTTTTCTTTTTGAGTGATGTCTTTTCCTGGTTTTGGTGTCAAGGTTATGCTTGCTTCATAAGATGAGTTAGGGAGGATTCCATCCTTTTCTATGTTTTAGAATAGTTTGAGTAGGATTGGTATCAGTTCTTCTCTGAATGTTTTGTAGAATTATCCAAAAATCTTCAACAAAATCCTAGCCAATAGACTGCAACAACATGTCAAACAAGTCCAGTGAGCTTTTTGATGGAATGAGTTTTTCTCTTAAAAAATTGTAGTGATAACTGCCTTTCTACAGAATATATGCTTAATAAATGTTAACCTGAATAATTATATATATTGTTTATGTTTTTATTTCAGGCTACAGACAAGAGAAAAGCTTTAGAAGAGACCAAAGCCTACACAACCCAATCCCTAGCTAGTGTTGCTTATCAAATAAATGCATTGGCCAACAATGTACTCCAATTGCTGGACATCCAAGCCTCTCAACTTCGCAGAATGGAGTCTTCCGTCAATCATATCTCACAGGTAACAGCTTGTAAAAGATTTTAAATTCACATTTAACAAACAGACAGCATATGTCAAAGGAGTAGATAACCTGAAAAGAGAGATTCTTTATTCATTTTCCTACTGATTGATTGTAGTTTTTATCAATTTCAGCTTCAGTTTTGAGTTTAGTAAACCTACTCTTTTTTAAAAGCACTTTATTGAGGTATATAAACTGTGCACAGTTAAAGTATACAATTTTATGTTTGACATACGTATATGTCTATTTTCCTGGTGGTTAATGATATTGAGCATCTTTTCCTGTGGTTTTCATTTTTAAATCTTCCACCTCTTGTATTTCTTTTAAACATATATAATTTTTCTGATTGTTGCTTGCATATACAGAAATACTTTTTATTTTTGTATATTCATTTTGCATCCTTATTAAAGTCACTTACTAGTTGTAGTAGTTACTGTGTAGAGTCTACTTTATTTTCTAAATAGAGAATCATGTCATCTGTCAATGAAGACAGTTTTACTTCTCTTTTTTCTCTCCTTTTTGTTTTTCTTTGCCTTACTGCACTGATTAGAAGATCTAGGACAGTGCTGAATAGGAGTGGTGATACTGGACACTATTGCCTTTTTCCCAGCCTAATGAAAAGAATTCAGTGTTTCACTTTTAAATATGATGCAGTCTATAGGTTTTTCATAAATGTGCTTTGTGAAATTGAGGAAATTGCCTTCTGGTTCTAGCTTACTGAGAGTTCTTATTAGCAATAGATGATGGATTTTGTCAGTTGTTTTCTATGCATGTATTGAAATTATCAGAATCCTCCCCCCCCCCCTTTGTTTTTCAGTTTGTTAATATGGTAAATTATGTCAATCTTCTTGGAATGTTAAGCCAGCCTTGCTTTCCTGAGATAAGTCTCACTTGACCATGATGTATTATCCTTAGCTAAAATTTTGCTAACAATTTTTGCTTCTGTGTTAATGAGGGCTATTGGCCTTTAGTTTTCTTTTGTTGTAATATCTTTTTCTGCTTTTGGTGTTGTGCTAATGCTTGTTTCATAGAATGAATTGGTCAGTATTCCCATTTCAATTTCATGGAAGAGTTTGTGTAGATTTGATACTAGTTCTCTTTTAAATGTTTGGTAGAATTCACCAGTGAAGCTATGTGGTACTGGGCTTTTCTCTGTAATTCAGTCTCTTTACTTATTATTGGTCTGCCCTGGATGTGGGAAGCAGGCACTGTACCTTGCTGTGTGAGTTCTGGGGATTGTTCTCTCCTTTTCTTTTGGAAGGATTTTCTCCAGTCTCAGGCACTTTCCTTGTACATTTGCACTGATCAATACTCAGCTAACAACTCCAGGGGGATCCCTCTTTAGATGTTCAGAGCTACCTCTTTGTGCAGCTTTTTCTCCTCTGGTACTCTTCCCTGTAACTCCTGCCCCATTAGCTTCTCTGAACTCTTAGCTTCCTCTCCTCAATTCAGTCAATCTCCTAGGCTACCCCTGACCATCTGTAGTGCTCATCTCCTTTATTTCTTTTCTCTCAGGGATCACCTTCCTTCATTGCATGAGGCTCATGTCTTGAAAAGCCATTTCTTCATGTATTTTGCCCAGCTTTTTATTTGTTTTAAGCAGGAAGTTAAATGCTGTCCCTGTTAATAAATCTTATCTGGGATAGATGTCAGTAAAGCTACTCTTTTTGAAAAATAATTTTATCGGATATAATTTACATAATAAATACTTCATCGTTTAGAGTGTATAATGCAGTGGTATATTTAGAGTTGGGCACTCATCATCATAATTTATTTTAGAACATTTCATTGCTCCAGAAGAAAACCCTATTCTCATTAACAGTAAATCTCACTTCTCCTAAATTCTCATCCCTGGGTGAATACCACTCTACTTTTAGTCCCTGTGGAGTCATCTATTCTGAATCTTTTATGTAAATGGAATCATACAATATGTGATCCTTTGTGTTTGGCTTCTTTTGTTAGCATGTTGTTTTCAAGGTTCATTCATGTTGTGGCATGTATCAGTATTTCATTCCATATTTTAATCAAATAACATTTCATTGTGTTGAATATTACCACATTTTATTCATCTGTTCATCAGTTGATGGCATTAGAGGGTTTCACTTTTTGACTATTATGAATAGTGCTGATTTGAACATTGTGTACATATTTTTGTATTACTGTTATCAGGTGTTGTCTAGTCTATTCTGACTCATGGCAACCCCAATGAGAGAGCAGAACTGCCTCATAGGGTTTCCTAGGCTGTAATCTTTACAGGAGCAGATTGTCAGGTCTTTCCTGGGTTACATGGTAACACAGTGTTTAACCATTTGAGGAACTACCAGATTGTTTTCTAAAGCAGCTGTACCATTTTTCATTTCGACCAGCAGTATATGACAATTCTAGTTTCTCCACATTCTTCCCAGCATTTATTATTATATGTCATTTTGATTATACTTACTTCTCACTTTTTGACATGCTTGGGTTCCAAAGACCAGGTTGTTATGTGAAATTGACATTATGCAAAAATGGAGGATGACCACATAATGTCACAAAATGGAAGATAACTACATCGTTACATAACTGCAAAATTACATCATTACGTAACTGCCACACCATTGAGAATCATGGCCTAACCAAATTGACTTGTGACCTTAACCATCACACTCAGCAACTCATGCCTTGCACCTTGGCATTCGTTACTACCAGATGTACATCATTAATGCGCAAAATAGTCTAATAGTAGTTTTTTTACCATCATTGTAAATGTGAAATATCAGATGAGATAGTTAATAAGCGAAGAACAAACCAAAAAAACCAAACTCACTGCTGTTGAGTCAGATTTGACTCATAGCAACCCCTCCTTGAGTTTTTGAGGCAGTGTTTCTATGGAAGTAGATTGCCCAGTCTTCCTTCCGAGGAGTGGCTGGTGGGTTTGAACCACCAGCCTTCTGGTTAGCAGTCAAATGCCTTAGGCACTATGCCATCAGAGCTCTTAAGTGAAGAATAGGTATACATATTTCATATTACTATTATTTTGTTATTTCCTAGTATGTGAGGTGATAAGTCATAGGGATTTTGATTTGCATAACCCTGATGTCTAATGATGTTATACATCTTTTCATGTGCTTATTGCTATTTGTATATATTGTTTTGAGGAATATTTATTCAGAATCTTTGCCCATTTTGAATATGCATTATTTTTCTTTTTAATATTTATATTAAAAAGTTGTAATATATATTCTAGACACAAATTCCTTATCAAATGTGTCATTTGCCAAAATTTTTCCCCATATCGTGGGTTAACTTTCACTTTCTTGATGGTATCCTTTGAAGCACAGAGATTTTTAATTTTGATAATGTCTAATTTATCTATTTTTTCTTATGTTGCATATGCTTTTAGGGTCATATCTAAGAAAACATTGTCTAATCCAAGATAATAATATAACTTTCAAAGGTTCTTGTTATGATAAAATATTGTACTATTATAACTCTTTGTTGTTGTTATGTGCCATCGAGTCGGACCCAACTCATAGCGACCCCTCCTTGGGTTGCCGAGGCAGTGTCACTACGGAAGTAGATTGCCCAACCTTCCTTCTGAGGAGTGGCTGGTGGGTTTGAACCGCCAGCCTTCTGGTTGGCAGTCAAATGCCTTAGGCACTATGCTACCAGAGCTCCTTTTATAACTCTATTATATGTTTTATCAGTATAGTGTATAATTTCTTATTTTTGGTTTTTGATAAAAGCTTAGAATTTTCATGTTTTATGGCATACTTTTGCTATTTTGTGATTTATACAAAATTAGTACAGAGTGGAACTTTTCTAAAGTAATTTTGCATGCAGAACAGAACCTAACTATAAAATGATTCATCCTGGGTCTTGGGGCCCTGTACATGCCTGGCCAAGACTGGTTTGCAGTAAGGTATTTGTTGAATTAAAAAAAAAATCTCTTCTGCAAAAGATACTTAGGAAAAGTGTAAAAGGACCTAGTTTTTAGTTTGTTCTATATATAGATGATAATCTAAGTATGGTTTGTTGTATGAAACCTGTTGGTGTCAAGTCAATTCTGATTCATATACATGGGCCCTATGTATTATAGAGTAGAACTGCTCCGTAGGGTTTTCTTGGCTGTTGTCTTTGCAAAAGCAGATTTCCAGGCCTGTTCTCCATGGCATTTACTAGTAGGTTCGAAACACTAATCTTTGGTTAATTTGAGCCACCCAAGGACCTTGAATAACAAATGTACAGTGACCAATCACCAGTAGACTTCGAAGTAACGTGATTGGTTATCAGTCATATTGCTCATCACTATTTATGGTGTGATTTGTGGACTGAAGAGTTAGCCATGAAGTTTGTAATTTATGTAATTACTTAAGAGTTCTTGTGGTAAGTGACATTTAAATTGTGTTGTTCGGGATCTGGTCAGAAGGAAGGTTGTTGGGCAATCTACTTATGTAGTGATACCGCCTTGGAAACCCAAGGAGGGGTCACTATGAGTTGGGGTTGACTCGACGGCACATAACAAGAACAACACAGTAATTGAAAAAGAGCTCAGGTGGTGTAGTGGTTAAGGCATTTAGCTGCTAACCGAAAGGTTGTTGGTTCAAATCCATCAGCTACTCTGCAGAAGAAAGATGAGGCAGTGAGGTTCTGTAAAGATTTACATAGCCTTCGAAACACAGCGGAAGTCGCTATGAGTTAGAATTGACTTAATGGCAATGAGTTTGGTTTTGGTTTATGGTAATTGAGATTCATGCAAATCAGTACTGGACAAAGTGAGAACTGCCTTTATTTATAGTCTCTCTAATAATCAAACATTTTTGGATTATTTTTCCCTTGTAAATGAGTGTTCCTGATGTTCTGAGCCTATTAAGATAAAGTTTACAGGATTCAGTTCTCATTCTATATGTTTTAGCTATCTAGTGCTGCTCTAACAGCAAATACCACAAATGGGTGTTTTTGACAAACAGGGATTTATTCTCTTACAGTTTAGCAGGCTAGAAGTCTGAGTTCAAAGAGCTAG